CACCAATTATAATTTTAATTCTCCAAGCCACATTTGGTAATTCTTGTGAAACCATGCAATCTATGGGCTGATTTAGGCACTAGAGTATTGTGGATAGTGAAAAAGATTTTTGGGTGTTAGCTCTTGTCTTTGGAAGCCTTTCTAAGTGGTAGCATGGGCCTACTTTTCTACCTCTGCAGGTAGGGTACAATCAATGTAAGTGAGTCTTTGAATGATGATGCTTGTCTTAGTCCATTGGGCCTACTAAAATAAACTACCATAGACTGAGTGGCTTATAGACAACAGATTTATTTCTCTCTGTTCTGGAGGCTGAAAAGTCTAAGATCCAGGTGCAAATAGATTCAGCGTCTGGTGAGGGCCCACTTCATCCTTTATAGATGGTGCCTTCTTGCAGTGTCTTCACATGGTAGAAGGGGCAAGGCAGCTCTCTAGGGCCTTTTTTTTTTTTTTTTTTTTAAATCAGGGCACTGATCCCATTTATAAGGGCTCTGCCCTCATGTCCTAATCCACCTCCCAAAGACATCGCCTCCTAATACCATCACATTGGAGGTTAGGATTTCAACATATGAATCTGGGAGGGATGTAAACATTGAGTTCATAACAATGTTAATCTTGCTTTGTCTCTGCATCTTGGTCCTGAATGTTGTTTTCACGATGTCTCGTGGATGTGAATACATTTTGGACCTGTTCATTTCCTTGTGATTTTCCTCTTTGTAATGTTTTGAGGGTCTGCGGAGTGAGGTTCTAATGGACTGTAAGCTTCACCTGAGGAAGTGCTTCACCTTGGGAAGAATTAGAAATAGGAAAAAAACCAACTCTTGTCTTGTTTTCAACTCCTACAATCAGTTAGCAAGCCCTGTTCAAAATATCTGAGATATGACTTAAGTATTTCCTTTACATCTTCACAAACACTGACTTCATTAGTTGCCACTGGGGTATTGCAATCACTTCCTAATCTGTTTCCTGCCACCAATCTCACTCCACTCCAGTCCACTGTTGTCACCATGACTACAGTTAACATGCTAAAAAAGGTTACTCTTCCTCTCCAAACTGTTAATTAGTTCCCCACTGTCCCCAGGAAATAAAAGGTTTCTGAAGCAATTAGAAGGATGGTGGTGAGGGGGAAAATAGCTAACCTTTAATGAGTTCTTGCAATGTGCCAGGCATTGTTCTATGGACACAATTTATTTGGACTATGTCACTTAACTTTAAAACAACTAAATGAGTAGTCATCATCATCATCATCATCATTTCAATTTGTAAGTGAAGAAACAGGAACACAGAAGAGTTAAATAACTTGCTCAAGGGCACACAAATAATTAATGGAACAAGGATTTGGGCCTTGTAAGCTACAGAAATTGACAAGATGATTCTAAAATGTACAGTTCATGGAAAAGCAAAATGACTAGGAGAGCCAAAACTACTTTGCAAAAGAAGAACAAAGTTGGAAAGTATCACTACTTGATTTAAAAAATTATTGTAAAGCTACAGTAATAAAGACACAATGATATCGGTACAAAGACAGACAAATAGATCAGTGGAATAGAATAGAACTTCATATATATGGTCAATCTTTTTTTTTTTTTTTTTACAAAGGTATAAAGGCAATTCAGTGGACAAAGAATAGTCTTTTCAACAAAGGATGCTGGAATGTTTGGATATCCATATGCAAAAAATAAACCATGACTTATACTTCACACCTTATACAAAAATGAACTCGAAATGGACCATAAGCCTAAATGTAATGCCTCAGCCTCCCAAAATGCTGGGAATATAGATGTGAGCCACTGTATCTGGCCGTGGATGAATCTTAAACATAGGTATGCGAAGGAAGCCAGTCACAAAGGCTATATGCTTTATGATTCCATTTATATGACTTCCATTTACATGCCCTTCTGGTAAGGCAAATCTATATGCACAGAAGAAAGATAACCAGTTGCCAGGGATTCTGGGTGGCGGGAAGAAGTTGACTCCAAAGATGCATGACGGAATTTTGTTTTGCAAGATGGAACAGTCTATCACTTGATTACAGTGGTGGTTGCATGGCTATACATATTTTTAAACACTCACAGAACTGAAAAGGATGAATTTTACTCTGTGTCTATTATATTTAATTTTTTTAAATTTCATGCTTGACCCAGAATGGGTATAGAAAAAGAAATTAGGCCAAGTGCGGTGGCTCACACCTGTAAACCCAGCACTTTGGGAGGCTGAGGCAGGAGGATTGCTTGAGCCCAGGAGTTGGAGACCAGCCTAGGCAACCTGACAAAATCCCATCTCTAAAAAAAAATACAAAAATTAGCCAGGCATGGTGGTGCATGCCTGTAGTCCCATTTACTCAGGAGGCTGAGGCAAGCAGACTGGTTGAGCCCAGGAAGTGGAGGCCAGAAGGTCAAGGCTGCAGTGAGCCGTGATTGCGCCACTGCACTCCAGCCTGGGTGACAGAGCAAGATCCTGTCTCAAAAAAAAAAAAAAAAAAAAAAAAAAAAAAAAAAAAAAAAAAAAAAACAAAGAAAGAAATTTACGAATTGAAAATTATGTAAATTATCTTGCAATTAATTGAATTCTCTTATTCCTCTAGCAAAGGTTAGTCTGGCCAGGACATTTCTTAGCATGTGAATCTCTGCTGAGCTGCTACAGGGGAGGGCTGTAGTTGGAGATCTTTTAATGAACCAGAGTGCTCATTAACGTGCTTGGAAGGCTCAAAGGATGGTGTGTACACAGAGTAATTTTTTTCTAAAAACATCATATTGTGTAAAAACAAGGCAATTAGGCAGCTCAAGTAAAGGGGATAGCCAACCCATGATAGGCAGTGTCAGGCCCCCACACACACACACTCACACACACACACAGGTTCACAGCCTCTTCCAGTGCACCTGTGGCCTAGGCAGCCTTGGCATCTTCTCTCTGGGAAGTCAAGAGTGAGTCACATCTTCCATTTTTAGTCTTGTTAGCTTTAATACCTGAAAAAACCTTACATGAAATTGCCCATTTCACTAGGATGGAATACAATTTCACTTCTCCATATGCCCAGATATATTACATAGCACATTATCTACATCATTAAGAATGAATGGCTGACTTGTCTCACTTATCTTCAGTCCTAAATGCAGCAAATGCTGCCGGTACCATGTCTATCTCCCCTAGGCACTCACCATTCTGTACACACAGACAGTCTTACTGCAAGCACCTGTGACTCTTTCTGAGGACATCCTCAAGCCACATCAGCATGGGTGGCCCCTGTATGTGGCAACCAGGAGTATCAGGAAATAACGCTCCCAGCACTGTCCTAAGTCAATGAGAAAGAAGTGGATGAATAAATACCCCAGCTTCCTTGCCTCTAGGGCAGAACAATCTGAGGCTTATTCTGTACTGTCTTCCAAGGTCCTCAGCACGGACCAGTTTTCCGGAGCTGCTTGTGCTCAGGAATACGTCTTCCATTGTTTCCCCATCCCTGACTCAGCTCCCCTTTCTGTCACCAATGCTTCTAAGGATTAGCACCCAAAGAAACTACTCCCATTCAAATCCTCTCCTCCGGGAATGCTTTTGGGGAAACCCAAGTGAAGACACGGGCAATTCACCAGCTGAAGATCGAGTCCATCCCATGGCAGGGCGGGCAGATGTACCTCTCTAATAAGTGAGATGCACCCTGGGATATCAGCTGGGGGAGGGGCAGAATTTAGATCACACTCATGGATCAGAAAAACAGGCTATGGAGTAGTTCTCCCCAGAAAAGCATTATTGATCTTGTCCAATAAAACAAACACAAACAAACAAACTGGGAGATTTCAAGGCAACAAAGTTAATGGAAAACAACGTCCCATAGGTTACCTAAGATTGAACGATAACACTGCAAATCCATCATTAGGATCTCAGCTAAGGTCTACAGTTTAGTCTCATCATTGAAAATTTATTGCCATCACCTGGAACAATTGTTCTCATCCTTATCAGGTGCAAATCACCTTGTAGAAATGAATGGTTTCATGTCTCTCTACCATCCTGAACTGCAATCCATAGACAATGTAATGACCCACCACGTAATTTTTTAATCTGTAAGTGCCCTAACTCAACACATGGAGAAATAAAAGGTGAGTAATTATGTAAATGAACGTCATGTACTGGTGCATCTACATGAACACCCCCAGGCGGGAGCTCACTGGACGACGACACGAAGAATCCTGACGCTTGCCACAACCTGTGGGGTCTCCGGGCATGGAAGCATTGCCACTTCGGGCTCATTCCGCAGCCCAGTGGCTGACGGATACCAGCAGCAGCGCTGCCATTGATGGCAAGAGATTCCAAAAATGCCAACAATTGTTGAAGTTTCCACCAAGACCAGTGACAACTTCCCATGATTTCCCGACAGTGTCATTCCTGTGGAAACTGATGTCTATGAAAGATGTACGAAAGATGCATCTATACCGTCGTTCGTGGCCTGTACTTTTGCATGTACGCTTTCAAGGTGAAATGGCAAGTGGTCGAGTGCAAGTGCTGGCAGCAGACCCGGAAGTGCAGCGGGTGAGCCTCGCGCCCAGGAGGCCAGAGAAGCAGGAGCCCCGGAACCTGCGGTGCAGCGAGTGCGCATGCGCATAGACGGGGCCCAGGAGCTGACCCCGGCCCTGCAGTTCCCTTCCGGTGCGGCATGCAGAGACGCAAAGCCCGGGCCACGACGACGACCCCTCAAGTACCGACGACGACCCCTCAAGTACCGACCGATGTTTTAAGAAACCCTCAAACAGATTGAGTAGCGCTTCCCTGGAGGCGGTTTTCTGGGCAGGTGCCCAGACAGTGCCCAGGAGCTGACCCCGGCCCTCCCGCTCACTTCCGGTCCAGCACGCCGAGACGCGAAGCCAGTGCCAGGTCTACTACCCCTCAGGTACCGATGTTTTCAGAAACCGTCAAACAGATTGGGTAGCGCTTCCCTGGGGGCGGGTTTCTGGGCAGATGCCCATGTTGAACTCAGTGTGGACTTGTGGCGTCTTGCGGTTCTGTACATTAATATGACAGCCGTAATTCCATCCTGCTTCACCACGCACATGCGTTTTCTCTCCTCTTAGGGGCCCTGTTTTCTGTTACAATGGATCGAGATTTAGAACAGGCTCTGGATCGCGCAGAGAATATCATTGAAATTGCCCAACAGAGACCTCCTAGAAGGAGATACTCACCTAGGGCGGGAAAAACTCTGCAGGAAAAACTTTATGACATTTATGTAGAAGAATGTGGAAAAGAGCCTGAGGATCCTCAGGAATTGAGAAGCAATGTAAACTTGTTAGAAAAGCTTGTTAGGAGAGAATCCTTGCCATGTTTACTGGTCAATCTATACCCAGGCAATCAGGGGTATTCTGTGATGCTCCAGAGAAAAGATGGGTCCTTTGCAGAGACCATTCGACTCCCTTATGATGAAAGGGCATTGCTCGACTACTTGGATGCAGAAGAATTACCCCCTGCTTTGGCCGATGTCCTTGATAAAGCTTCAGTTAACATTTTTCATAGTGGGTGTGTCATAGTAGAAGTTCGTGACTACAGGCAGTCCAGTAATATGCAACCTCCTGGTTACCAAAGCAGGCATATTCTCCTACGTCCAACAATGCAGACTTTAGCCCATGATGTGAAGATGATGACAAGAGATGGCCAGAAATGGAGCCAGGAAGACAAGCTGCAGCTTGAGAGCCAACTGATCTTAGCGACAGCTGAACCACTGTGTCTTGATCCTTCTGTAGCAGTCGCCTGCACTGCAAACAGGCTGCTGTACAACAAGCAAAAGATGAATACCGACCCGATGAAACGGTGCCTCCAGAGGTATTCGTGGCCCTCTGTAAGGTCACAGCAGGAGCAGTCTGACTATCCACCTCCTCCTGAGCTGAGAGTGTCGACTTCTGGCCAAAAAGAAGAAAGAAAAGCAGGTCAGCCTTGTGAGCTGGACATTGCTAAAGCAGGACGTTGTGTAGACATGTGGAAACGTAGATCCTGTGATTTGGCTGTGCCTTCGGCAGTGGATGTGGAGAAACTTGCTAAAGGGTGTCAGCCTGTCACAGCTGCTGAGCCACAGCTCTCAGTCTGGCCAGCCCAGGAGGTAGAAGACCCTTTCGGATTTGGATGGGAAGCTGGCTCTCAGGCCTGGGACACCAAGCCAAGCATCATGAAGTCGTTTAATGATCCACTTCTCTGTGGTAAAATACGGCCCCGTAAAAAAGCCAGGCAGAAGAGCCAGAAGTCTCCCAGGCAGCCCTTCCCAGATGACCATGCAGCTGGTCTCAGGCCTGGGTCAGAGACTGATACTGGGAGGGCAGTGAGTCAGGCCCAGGAATCGGTGCAGAGCAGAGCCAAAGGTCCAGGCAAGGTGTCACACAGCTCCAGTGGCCCAGCCAGTGTCAGTCAGCTGTCCTCATGGAAAACACCAGAACAGCCTAAGCCTGTGTGGGTCCAGTCTTCAGTATTGGGGAAGGGAGAGAAACATCCACCTCCCCAAAACCAACTTCCCTCAAGCTCAGGAAAGAACTCCTCAGGTACCAGTTTTCCCCCACAACAGGCAGGCAGCTCTCTTAAGCGTCCTTTTCCTGCTGCTGCTGCCGCTTCTGCTGCTTCTGCCGCGTCTCCTGCTGCTGTAGTTGCTGCTGCTGCTCCTGCCGCTTCTCCCACTGCTGCTGCTGCTGCTGCTGCTGCTCCTGCTCCTGCTCCTGCTCCTGCTCCTGCTCCTGCTCCTGCTCCTGCCGCTCCTGCCAGTGCTCCTGCCACTGCTCCTGCTCCTGCTCCTGCTCCTGCTCCTGCTGTAGCTGCTGCTTCTGCAGCAGCAAGTCATTCTCAGAAGCCCTCTGTGCATTTCATTCAAGTTAGCAGGCCCTATCCAGCTGCCCAGCCCCCCACCAGATTCATAAAAATAGCCCCAGCCTTTCAGGTCAGGACAGGCTCCACTGGCCTAAAGGCCATCAACATGGAGGGCCCAGTCCGGGCAGCCCAGGCTTTGGGTAGCAGTTTCAAGCCTGTGCAGGCCCCTGGCTCGGGTGGCCCGGCTCCTGCAGGAATCAGTGGCAGTGGCCTTCAGTCCTCAGGAGGTCCACTACCAGATGCAAAGCCCAGTGCAGCACAGGCATCTTCTCAAGCACCCCTTCAGTTTTTCCTAAATACTCCTGAAGGTCTCAGGCCCATGACTGTCCTCCAGGTTCCACAGGGCTCCATGGTTTTGAGCAGCACGCAGCAGCAGTTCCATCAGCTGGTTTCCCTGCAACAGCTCCAGCAGCCCACAGCTGCTCACCGTCCTCAGCCAGGGCCACAGGGTTCCGCACAAGGTATGAGCACTCAAGGGCAGGCCTTCCCTGCTCAGCAGCTTCTTAAGGTGAACCCCACTGGCGCAGGTCGTGGTCTGCAGCCCCAGCCCCAGGCAGCTGTGTTGGGTCTTCTTGGCTCTGCCCAGGTTCCTCAGCAGGGTATCCAGCTCCCCTCTGTCTTGAGGCAGCAGCAGCAGCCACAGCTGCGGCTGAAGCTGCAACCACGGTCACAGCCGCAGCTGCCACAGCCACCGAAGCTGCAACTGCAGCAGCAGCCACAGCCACAGCAGCAGCAGCCACAGTCACAGCAGCCACGGCGACAGCCGATCCAGCTCCAGACGCAGCAGTTGAGAGTCCTGCAGCAGCCAGTGTTTTTGGCAACAGGCGCTGTTCAGATAGTGCAGCCACATCCAGGTGGGCAAGCAGCGAGCCAGTCGGTAGTGCAGACGAAGGGAGGCAAGCCAACCCCTCCAGCGCCCTGAGGCTTGTGGTCGTTTGTCTCTCTTTTAAAAGCACAGGAGCACTGACCCAAATGAATTCCCAGTTTTTACTTGAGTTTTGTGTTTTCTTTCCTCATGTTTTGGTATTTTACATTTTAAAATACACACTTTACACAGAAGCACAATCCACTAATTTTTATTTAGAAACAGGGAAGTGATCTCCTAAAGGAGCATTGTTTTGCTTAAGTTACTCCTTTTGTTGTCATTGCTGTTGATATAATTATTTTTAATATAGTATTTTAAAGTGTCCAAATCCCAACCAGTTTGAGTTTAAACTTGTGAAGTGTATAATTTCTCTAAAGCCATAAGATGGCAATACCAACAATGTTAGTATTTTAACAAGATTTTAATTTTAAGTTAATATTTTAACAAGAAGAGTGCAATTTAAATTTTTTTAAATGGTGGTAAAAACATATAATCTAAAATGGACCACCTTAACTATTTTAAGTGCGCGGTTCAATAGTATTAAGTCCACCCCCACAGTTGTGCCGCAGGTTTCCAGACCATCTTACAACACTGAAACTCATGCCCATTGAATACCAGCTCCCCATTCTCCCTTGCCCAGTCCCTGGCAGCCACTGTTCTGCTTTCTTTCTCTATGAGTTCACCACCCTGGCCACTTCATGGAAGTGGAATCATATGGCATTTGTCATTTGATGTGTGTCTTACCTCACTTGGCATAATGTCCTCATGATCTATCCCTGCTGTCTCATGTCACATGAAGGTCATTGCTTTTTAAAAATGGTCTCACTATACATAATATATATGAAAGGGACCTATGAACTCTGAGAAACCTCTTTCAGAAGAGTGTAATTGTATTTAGATTAATAGGTTTATGCACAATATATGGAATGGAATTATTACACATTCATTTTGAAAAATAAAATGAAAGTACAGTACAGTGATGCTTGTTACACTGCAGTTGAGTACATGGGAGACTTCCAAAGCTATGGAATGGAATTAGTGGCAGATTTGCTTGTGTGACAGTCCCCTGCCCTTTCAAAGGCCCTGTCTGCACCTAGTGCTCCACAGAGCGAGGCTCTCTTGCTGGCCTTGAAAAGGCTCTTCTTGGATGTTTTGTGTGCTCTCTCTTTATAAGATCATTTACATTTTTTGTAGTTTGTTTTCAAGAAGTTAATAGTGAAACATTTGAAAATCCATTTTATTGGTTTGCTTTTCAAATATTTGTAGCCTTGTTTCTTAAGTAGAACCCCTGTCTTTTTCTTTGTCTTTTTCTCTTTGTTGATGCGTCATCATCAGTTGTTCAGCCGTTTCTGCTCCCTCATTTTTTCCCTCATCGCAGTGAGACTCAAAGAAACATGAACTTTTGTGCGCTTTTGTTTTCCCTTTCTTTTTCCTTTTTTAACAACTAAGGGGTAATCACAGAACAACCAACCATTGTAAAGTACAGTTGTAAAGTGGCATTTAGTACATTCATGATGTTGTACAACTACCCCTCCTGTTTCCAAAACATTTTCATCACCCACCAAGAAGTCTCTGTATCCATTAAGCACTAGCTTGTCATCTTCACACCCCCAGCCTCTGGCACCCACCAATTTGCTTTCTGTTTCTATGGATTTACCTAAATATCTCCTGTAAATGTAGTCGTACAGTATGTGGTCTTTTGTGTCTGGCCTCTTTCACTCGGCATAATGTTTTTGAAGTTCATCTATGTTGTAAAATGTATTGTTACTTCATTCCTTTCTGTGATTCTGTGGTTCAATATTCCATTGTTTGTATACAGCACATTTTTGTTTATTAATTCATCTGATGATGGACACTTGGGTTGTTTCTACCTTTTGGGCGCTGTGCATAGAGCTACTGTCAACTTTCATGTACAAGCATCTGTTCTAGCACCTCATATTTTGCTCTTTTACAACCTTGAAGGGCACCCTCTGTAATACTTGTTTTTCTAGGTACACATGTATATTTCTCTGTTTTTTGCCTTAATGAAATAGAAGGAAATTTGATCTGGCGGTTCCAAAAGACATCAGTAAAGAGACAGGTATCCAGTGAATCTTACTTGGTGAACCCTTTTACTAATGCGCTACCGATGCTGTTAAAGATTTGACCAACTTCAAGTAAACACATCGAATTTCCCAAGTGACACCAAGTCCATCAGAGCAGCCTGAACATAACTGGGAATGGTGCCTGCACTTTTAAGAAGCGAACCAGTGCAATGACCAGTTGTAGAGAAGAGTTTATGCATGGCCTTCAGAGCTAAGCAGTGACCTGAACTCCATATATCACCAAATTTGGTGTAGCTTTCTCCTTTGCCCTCTGCTTTTTTCAAGTAGTACATGGAGATAGCAGCTAAATTTGTGCTTCAGTGATGTGACCTTCCCTTCCCAGGCAGGCAAATAAATTGAGTTTTGTTTCTGATTATCATTTGGTGGTCTTTATTTCCTTATAATGATCCTCAACATGGTTGATAATTGGATGTAACTGCCACAATGATGAAGAGGAAAGAATATAACCCTTGAAATGAAACCCCAGAGTATGTATTTATTTAAACACCTATAGAAGGAGGATTTTCCACAGTAATGTTGGAGATGGGGGAGAAGACAGACCAAAGAAAAGTAAAAGTGCCTCTTTAGGACCAAGATTTTATTCAACCCTCATCTCATTGTGTCCTTCAGCAATTTAAGCTAGATTTACAGAATAGTGAAATGTCAATAGATGAGTACACAATGGAAAGAATGAGAAATAGCTTGGTGCAAAAGTAATTGTGGTTTTTGCCATTACTTGTTTTTTGTGTTGTTTTGTTTTGTTTTTTGTTTTTTTAGATGGAGTTTTCACTCTTGTTGCCCAGGCTGGAGTGTAGTGGCACAATCTCGGCTCACTGCAACCTCCACCTCCTGGATTCAAGCGATTCTCCTGCCTCAGTCTCCCTAGTAGCTGGGATTACAGGCATGTGCCACCACACCTGACTGATTTTTTTGTATTTTTAGTAGAGACGGGGTTTCACCATGTTGGCCAGGCTGGTCTCAAACTCCTGATCTCAGGTGATCCACCTGCCTCAGCCTCCCAAAGTGATGGGATTACAGGTGCGAGCCACCACACCTGGCCAGTTTTTGCCACTACTTTTAATGTCAAGAAGCACAGTTACTTTTGCACTAACCTAATAGAGGCAGGCTCAATATTTTAGTGGCTTATTGCCCTATCCCAAGTCAGAGACCAGGACACAGACCAAGGAGATGATAGAAATAAGATTGCAAGAGAAAAGTATTGACCAACCCAGGAAGTACAGATATTTGTATCTGCACAGAGAATTTGTACTTATTTATAAGTGACAAGTTTAAATAGCTGTCATTCTGTATTAGATTTCTGTTTTGGGAAAAACACCCAATTCTAAGAAACTTATCTCTTAAAAGCAATGGTAACATCTTAGTGAACAGGCTGTCTTCTGGGTCCCACTTCCATTTCTCCCACCTGTCAGCTAATACCAATATTGTTCATTTTTGTTGCATGCTGCCTCCCTGAAATGTCACCAAGACAACCTGTTGATTAGAGAAAGCTGATTTTATTCTTACTGGTAAGATAGAGGACTACTTTGATACAGTCTTAGTAGTATTGCAAGCCATGAAATATATTTTTCCATAAAATCTAATTAAAATAATTCTTCATCTCCAGGACTTTAGTATTTCATCTGCAGGGAAAATGTACTTAGCTGCTTTCATTGCATCCTGATAAACACGTAGGCATAAAATATAGGATCTTTTCCCCTCTGTTCTTTCTACGTGCTAGACACTGTTCTCTTTTACATGTTTCACTCACTGAGTTCTTGCAAAAACCACTTACAATTATAAAAGAGGAAACAAGGCATGGGGCGCTTAAGTAATTTGTTCACAATCACCCAGCTGCAAAGTATCAGAGCCCAGATTTGGACCCAAGCTTCCCGGGGTCAGAGACCACATTCTTTCCCACACAACCCTCTTTACTGCCTCACTGAGGGCAAGACGTAGGCCTGTCCCAGGGGGCTTACAATATGGTTACAGAGACCCCATGACGTGGATGAAATGACAGATGGCAGTCTGTTATTTCGCTGTATGTTGGCGTTTGAGGGGAGCTTATACGTGACATCTCTGCCATAGGTTGACACCAGCTGCAAAAGAGAGGGATCCAGCAAACAGCTGGACATCAATATATCTCTTTATTAGTGATGCTCATATATTCAAGGACATAATTTAGATCTGGCTTCCTCACTCACAGGCAGGGCTGGAGGCAGGGCTGCTGTGGGCTGCAGATCCCTCCCATGATCCTGGCCGCCCCACTGGGGAGAACTGAGTGGGCAGGGAGAGCCCACTTTACTCTAATGAAGAGCTTCTTAACCCCTAGACAATAGGCCTCTTTGGTATTTGGTGAAGCCCATGGATCCTTTCTCAAAACAACTTTTTTTTTTTTTTTTTTTTTTTTTGAGACAAGTTCTGACTCTATTGCCCAGACTGGAGTGCAGTGGTGTGATCTTGGCCCACTACCACCTCCACCTCCTGGGCTCAAGCCATCCTCCTACCTCAGCCTCTGGAGTAGTTGGGACTAAAGGCGCACACCATCATACCCAGCTAATTTTTTGTTTTTGTTTTTGTTTGTAGAGACAGGGTTTTGACATGCTGCCCAGGCTGGTCTCAAACTCGAGAGCTCAAGCAATCCACCCACCTAGGCCTCCCAGAGTTCTGGGATTGCAGGCATGAGCTACCATGCCAGCCTCAAAATAACATTTTTAAGGGCATAAAATAAAATACATGGTATTACAAAGGAAACCAGTTACACTAAAATACAACCCTAAAAGTATATACTGTAAATACATTCATGATAAATAATCTATGTGTTCCTTTATTAATGCATTAAATAATAAGACAACAGTGGGACTAATTACTACCATAATTTTGAAGTAGTGATGAGCTTAAATGATATTTTGAGATATCTGCGACAAGTGAAATTTCATAAGAAAATATCTCTGATTTCTATTAGCTACAAATTTA